CATGTCATGGCTGCGAAGCGAGGACCACCCGGTGAACTTCTACCGCCGCACCGTTCACGTTCGTGATCGGAACGGAGTACTAGTCCCATGCACGGTAGCTCCTCCTCACCCTTCAGTCAGCTGTCACGTGGTATTCGCCGCAAGCATGCGAGCTTCCATCATCAGAGACGACATCGAGGAGATGGGGGTGTGTTTTTTCCACGCCCTCCCGCCCCATGACGCTTCATCGACGGACTCTTCTTCGGATCCACGCATCACCGAGCTTCTCGACGCCTACAGCAACGTGTTTGAAGGCCCGCACGGAGTAGTACCGGATCGGCCCATCCGCCACGAGATCATCCTCGAGGACGGGGCCGTACCTCCACGCGGTTGCATCTACCGAATGAGCGAGGAAGAGTTAAGTGTGCTTCGGGCACAACTCGACGACCTTCTGGAGAAAGGCTGGATTCGGCCTAGCTCATCGCCATACGGTGCTCCTGTTCTCTTCGTCCGGAAGAAGAACAAGGATTTGCGGTTGTGCATCGATTATCGCAAGCTCAACGCGCAGACGATCAGAAACGTCGACCAGCCTTACGAATGCCCCGACCACTTTCCAAGCGGCTATGACAATGGAGTTCCGACACATGCTGGATCGATACATACTTATCTACCTCGACGACATCCTGGTGTACAGCCGGAGTTTGGAGGAGCATGTAGAACACCTGCGCACCGTTTTGGAGCGGCTACGACAAGCCAAGTACAAAGCCAACCGCGACAAGTGCGAATTCGCGCGACAGGAGCTGGAATACTTGGGACATTATGTGACGCCGCAAGGCATCCGTCCGCTTGCTGACAAGATCGAGGCCCTTTGAGTATGGCCCGAGCCCACCAACACCACGAACGTTCGTTCATTCATGGGGTTGGCGGGCTACTATCAGCGATTCATCACCGGATACTCCAGGATTGCTGCACCTATGACTAGGTTACAGTCGCCAAAGGTGCCATTGGTATTCGATGACGACGCACGCCGGTCATTCCAAGCATGCTCATGGCACCCGTCCTAAGCATCTATGACCCCACCCTGCCGACGAGAGTGACTACGGACGCTTCCGGCTATGGCATTGGGGCAGTCTTGGAACAGCACGACGGCGACGACTGGCACCCTGTGGAGTATTTCAGCCACAAAGTGCCTCCCATCAACTCGCTTGATGATGCAAGGAAGAAGGAGCTGCTCGCATTCGTCATGGCTCTCAAGCGATGGCGGCACTTCCTCCTTGGGCGTCGTAGGTTCACATGGGTTACGGACAACAATCCATTGACCTACTACAAGACGCAGGATACGGTGAGCAGCACGATCGGACGATGGATGTACTTCATCGACCAGTTTGACTTCACACCGAAACATCTTCCCAGCCTCTCAAATCGCGCAGCAGATGCACTTTCGCGAAGACCTGATCTTTGCGCTATGACACATCATGCCTTCGCATTCGACGAGGAGCTTCAGCGACACTTCGTCCCGGCATATGAGTCTGATCCGAACTTTGCCACGCTATATGGACAACTATCTTCGGATCACCCGCCGGCCAGCCACTATTGCATTGTCGACGGGTACTTGCTCCTCCACTCTAGAGGCAAGGACTTATTGTGTGTCCCACGAGACCGTCGTCTTCGGACTCGCCTTCTCGGAGAGTATTATGACTCGCGACTCGCTGACCATTTCGGAGTCAACCGCACTATTGCACGGCTTCGACAACGATTCTGATGGCCCGACCTCATTACCGATGTCACTCGGTATTGTGACTCTTGCGAAATTTGCCGACGCAGCAAACCCCGCAACCACAATCCCTATGGCGAGTTACGCCCGATGCCTATCCCACGGGAACCCGGTCTCTCCATTGCCATGGACGTCACCGGTCCCCTCGCGATCGGCTCAGGCACGACGGCATCCTCACGGTTGTGGACCGATTGAGTAAGTACGCGTGTTTTCTTCCTTGCAAGTACTACTCCACGGCTCCCGAGCTGGCACGCCTCCTGCTCACTGGTTGGATTTGTGGCCACTGTGTACCAGAAGACATAGTCAGCGACCGCGACACTCGCTTCATGTCGGCATTTTGGACTGCTCTCATGCAGGAGTCCGACACGAAGATGAAACCAAGTTCGGCTCGGCATCCACAGACAGATGGGCAAACAGAGTGGGCACATCAAAACCACTCAAATGATGCTTCGTACGCTCATCCGTCCGGACCAGAAAGATTGGGTTGACCGCCTCCCTGACATCGAGTTTGCCTACAACACTTCGGTGCATCCGGCGATCGGCGTGACTCCATTCGAGTTGCACCACGGTGGACGGAAAGGCCGGATCTTCGCCGACCTTCTCCTCCCTCGACCAGCCGACATTGATGCTGCTTGCTCTCCCGCTTCCGTCCGGAAGTACAGGGAATTGCTCACTCAAGCCCGCACGAACATGCAAAAGGCTCAAGTCTGCATGTAGTAGCAAGCCAACAGGCGTCGCGTACCATGTCCCATCCGCAGCGGTGATCTGGTTTGGGTCTCCGCGGAAGAGTTTGCACTGGAAGAGGATGTTTCACGCAAACTGCTTCCCAAGTGGTTTGGACCATGGTCTGTGACATCAGCCGCGGGCGATGAGCCCGATGGCCCTTCATTTGTGATCAACATTCCCGARCATCTGACGGTCCATCCAGTCTTTCAYGCATCAAAGCTGGCAACATATACACCAGCTAAGAGCGACGACTTCCCGGGCAGACGATCGCAGGACCCTCCATCTATGGATGGTCATCAGGAGGTTGACCGCGTCATCTCGGATCGCAAGGACGGCAGCAAGCTGCGACAGTACAAAGTTACATTCGGAGCATGCGATCCCGACGACACTCGGTGGATTTCAGGAGCAGATTTGAAAGCATCCGCACCGCTGATCTACGCTCACTACGAGCGTCAAAGGTTAGCCAAGGGACCTCCACGACCCGCCCCTCCCACCCGGACTGTGGTCCCTCCCTCAGACAGACAGCTTCACCCTCGCAGGTAAGCTCGGTCTTTCAAGGAGGGGGGGGGGTGGCATACTGCGTAGCCACACGGGCCTTGCAGGGCCCGTCCCGCACTTTCAGCCTAAAAGCCTAAAACTTAGGGCTTACAGGCCCCCGTCGTTCAGCCTGAAAGCTGAAATACGAGGGTCTGCAGGCCCTATTCCGTTTCAGCCTATTTCTGGGCCTTTCAGGCCCAGAGGCTTTTTAGCCTGAAACGGAGGGCCATTTTCAGGCCCTCATTGTGTTCGACCTACCTAAGACTCAGGCACGAAAACAGGGTCTCGGAACAGGCCAGAAATAGCCTGCTCCCCACGCCAGCTCGAGCAGGAGCTGCAGCTGCAGTCCCTGCCTCCCGTAGGCATTGGCAAGAGCAGCCTCCTGGACTGCCTCGCCTGCAGTCAGGAGGTACCCGGTAGTACATAGGAAGTTCCCATGCACTTCACGGGTAGGTAGTGGTCAGTAGGCACGAGTAGTCTTCAGGATTCGGCCGCAGCACTCAGGAGGAGCGCTGCAGTAGTCTTCAGCGCTAGGCAGTAGCCTTCAGCGTTAGTTGTAGTCTTCGGCGCTGGGCGCCCATAGCCATAGAGKAGTCTTCAGCRCTGGGCGCTGGTAGGTGGTAGATCGTAGAGTTGGGAGAGATACTGGCGGAGGCCAGTGGTACTTACCTGTGGCGCCATCGCTCCAGCTCCATCTGCGAGGTACCTACATCAAGGCACCAACTTCACAGGTTAGTACTGGACACAGAGAGAGAGAGAGAGAGTTCTTSTTCTTCCTCTTCTAAGTCCACCATCTCTTCTCACCCTGTCGCCACCTGACTTCTCAGACTACGACAGAGAGAAACAGAGTTGTGACTTGAGACTTGACGACATTGGATCCAGACTTGACATTTGGGATTCAGACATTTCGACGAGGGACTATTTGGGCCTGTGCCGAAGACTTGGTGTTGACGACATTCCCATCTTTCCCCTCCTCTTCGTCTAACCCCTTCTTCKTCGTCTGTGTATGGTAGGGGCTGGCGCAGTCTTCCTGTGTGAAGCGCCAGACCCCATTCACACCATGTAACGATGATGATGATGTATGTTCAGGGCTGCATTGCAATATTGATTGTTCAGTTCACTGGTATCTAAGTCTTCCGCTGTGTTATCTTGTACTTTGTATTGAGAGGTCGGTTCTTGTTCTGGTCTGCACATTACAGCATGCAACATTGGTTACGGCTAATTTTTCCTCGTTGTATGTGAGATCTAGTCTAGTCCATCCACCTCCTTGTTCATCACTGGCTGTTCGGACTATGGTTAGAAATTGTGCTGCTTGCTTCTGAATTGTTGTGTACTGGCATGACTCCTGCCAAGGCTGAATTGAGGTTGGGAGCCCATTCTGTGTGCTTGACTTGTCTGGATCGTCTTATAATCTCGTTCAGAATGTGCTTCTGTTCATCTCAAGTAGTCAAGTGTGCTTCTTGTATACAAAGGATATGTGGGGGGATAATATCCATCCACCCTGTCATAGCTATGAAATCGTTCGTGTAGTTCCTTGGCCATGCACATTCCATGATCATATTCCCGTACCCTCGAAACTTGCGCTCTGCCCTGGGTGCTTTTGCAGTCCTGTTTCTTGGAGCTGTTCTTCCCTTGGCATTGTTCAAATTTGGATGGCTTGTGGTTTTACTGCATATTGTCTTTTCAAGAGGAGAGGGAAGGGAGTTGCCGTGCAGTGTGCCTCAAAGAAGGATCTCCTGTGTCTTCCCCCATTGGCTGCAAGGCCTTTTTCAAGCGGTTCCGCCTATCTGAGGCTAGTGTTGTTGCCATGCTTGCTGCAGTCAGCACCGTTGTAGGCCCCGGGCCAAGTGCCGAAAACAGAAGCTGGACGATTGGCCACCTAGGTCTCCATTGCATGTCTTCTCCCAAAACATTTCTGTTCCCTGATGGGCAGTTATTGGCCTTGCGTCCAAATTGCCCCCCTCCCTTGCGTCTCCTCGTTCTCCCAGCTCCTGTACTTTCAATGTTTCTCCAACCAGTCCAATTGCGATTGGTTTGACTCCCGATATCATTCCTTCTTCCTGTTTTGTCCCTTTTCTAGCTTTCGGAGGGTGAAGTTGGGTGTTGTTGCAATGTGCCATTTTCCTATGGTTTTGTCAAATTTACCGGTATGGCAGCACTGTTCTGCTCTCTTGTACTGCTCTCTCTGAGAAGGCATACTGAGATTGATATTCACTCCATCCACAGTCACCGTCTTCAGTATGAGTTCTTCATCGAGCTGGCTCAACCTTTGCAGTTGCATGCCCAGGATTTCAGCTTGTATTATCAGGTGTTTACTTTCAGTTTCTTCCTTGGAAGTCTCTTCCTTTTTTGTTTCTGATTCCTCCTTCCCCAGTTGCTCTTGCTGTTTGCCCTCTTCTTTTCCACTTGTATTGTTGTCCCCTTTCCCAGTCTCTCCCTCGTTATTAGGAATGCCTTTTCTAAGTTTTCTTCCTTCTGCTTTCCTTTTTTTGCTGCAAGTGTCAGGAGGTGCTGGCATTTTGTACTTGCCCTTTCACGAGCTGCTCTCCCTTTCTTCCCTGGTTTCTCTCCAACTGCTTTGTCCTTTTTGACTATGGACTGTATGCAGTGTTGCTCTGCATAGAAAGCAGCCAGTTCCTCCTCACTCCATTTTTTTTAGAGGGGTAAAGAGGTTGGGGGAAAGTGATAAAATCATAAAACATATTTTGCCCCCCTTGTTCCCCCTTCTAGTCTCATCTTTTCTTCTTCCCTGACATTTTTCGGAGTTAAAATCTGCTTTCCCTTTTTCGCTTTTGGGATGTACTCTCTGATTTCCTCCAAGCCTTCCCCATCCCATTCCTCCTCTTTACGATGGTCTTTGTTTGTCGTCCACCGTATCTTCCACTCTCTCTCCTCTTCCTGATTCTTCCTCTTTTCCCCTATTGTCATGTTCCCTTCCTTCACAACATCTGGTGTGGTTCAGTGTTTGCTCCCTGTTCCTGCTCCTTCGTCCACTTCCATTCCTGCTGCCTTCTTCGCTCGCCGTGCCATACTTGGCCTTCTTCTCGTCTATGTTGACACTGCCTTGCATTATAGTGAGTCTATCTCCATTCCTCCGTTTTTCCTTTGTTTCTTTTCCAGCCAAGTCCTTTCAGCCATTTCCTGTGTCTTGAGTCTATCTCCATTCCACCTTCATTTTTCCTTTGTTTCTTTTCCAACCAAGTCCTTTGAGGCATTTCCTCTGTCTCATTCAGATTCATTATGAACTCCCTTTGTTTCTTTTCCAACCAAGTCCTTTGAGGGATTTCTCCTGTCTCATTCAGATTCATTATGAAGTCCTTGAGCCATCTCTCTTCTTGGATTCTTGCTATGTGCAGCACAGGGTCTTTTGAGAAGACCTTTGCAGATTTTTTTTTTTTTTAAATATAGAAAAAGAACAGAGCCTTAAGGTTCTGGCTCCTTTTCCATTCTGCGGTTCCTATTGCACCGACAAGTCAGAATGAATTACAATGGGAACTCCCACACGCTCCTCCTTATGGTAGGAAGGCCCGAAGGACAGCATCGAGTACTTCCCGAAGGAAGAATGTATCGCCCTTCACCCCTGCCTAAGTTAGGCTGTTTGACGTATTCTTGGACTTGAGGGGACACTCCAAGCTTACTATCCCTCCGTTTGCTAATCGAAGTTCGCCTGTATGGGCTTCCTCTAGCTTGTTCCTCTCAGGTTTAAAGCTGTCGGATCTGCGTGAATTGACGGTATAGCTAGCTCGGCCTGTGTCCACCAAATTTGCTAAACCCCAAGCCCTGATATACTAGGTTCTGTGGTAACTTTTGGCCTGAGGTCCTGCAGCCTACCAGAATCTCAGTGAATTCTACTAGTAGCTTCCTTCCTTTACTCTAAAAATCGGCTTTTTTTTATGTATTCTATCTTTGTAGCTCTTTCTGTCGCCTTTCACTCCTCATGGTCCTTTACTGAGTCTTTCCTAGCCATTATTTTCTGAATCCTTCCTGGCTAGCATTGTGCCGTTTTCTCTCTTTGAACGGGTTGTCCTTTCCTTTCTGTCTGTGAGCAGTGCCTTGTAACGTTCTCTGGGGTTTCTGCTAATCCTGATCGATGGATGTCGCCTCTATGTTGTCCGCTCTTTGCCTATCTGTGCTTACCTTGCACCAGTCTGTGAAGTGTATTGATCATACTTGCGGCGCACCGGCACTGTGCGCTGCACGGTGCGCGGACCCAGGGCGCATCTGGGTGCACAGTGCGCTGTGCGCGGACCCAGGGTGCTCGCGCACCGGCACGCGCCACGCATCTGGGTGCGCAGTGCGCAGTGCGTGCTGCGCGCATGTGCGCAATGTATATTTCCATGTTCTAGCGGTAGATTCATTTCATTTTGTTCTCTCTCTCTCTCTCTCTCTCTCTCTCTCTCTCTCTCTCTCTCTCTCTCTCCCCCCTCCCAACTTCTTCCGCCGCTTCCCACCATCCCACCTTCGGCCTTTCTCCTGCCTTCCGCCATCCACCATCGCTATTTCTCTCTTCCTCTTCCCGCCATCTCTCTCTCTCTCTCTCTCTCTCCTCCCGACTTCTTCGGCCGCTTCCCACCATCCCACCTTCGGCCTTTCTCCCGCCTTCCGCCATCCACCATC